TTCTATTGTTTCTTATTATTAAGGTCTTCCGTCTTCACGGAAGACCTTATAGTGATTCTATTGTTTCTTATTATTATTAAGGTCTTCCGTCTTAACGGAAGACCTTCTAGTGATTCTACTGTTTCTTATTATTATTATTATTATTATTATTTTTTTCCCCAAAATTTTGTGCACGCGATTTCTCGAAAACTATTCAGTGGTTTTCAATGAAACTTTCAGGAATTATGCGTCATTATATGAAGTTGTGGCAAGACAAGGAAAATTTGGAATACTCACCTTTGGTTCCAAGTTATTGACACTTTTCTGATTTTAAAATGCAATTTTGTCCCCCCTTTTTTTCGAAAATGGTTTAAGATATTAACTGGAGACTTGTAAGAGATGAAAGATGATGACTTTAAGATATGAAGAATCACATTTTCGTTTGTCGTCGGTACTTCCGCTTGCTACCGGAAGCAAAATTAAAAAGTTCGTATTTTCTAACTTTTTTGTTTTTCAATATTTTTCATTTATTTTTGGAATGTTAATAGAAACCTTTCTTATAATGCTTACTATATAATTTGTTTGAACATTGATAAATCCAAACTCTAGATATTAACATTTAAAAATCTGAAGCGGGTCCAATATGGCGGCTGTCTATGTCAATTCCGACATTTTGCAATAGGGGTTTTCAGAGGCAGCCAAGCGTTTGCTTGAACGAAAGTAAATAAGGATAACTGAAATGTAAAGGAATACGGGGATTGTCACGAAGTAGTTACGTTGCAATTCTGTATCAAACTAAGTTTAAATCCATGGTCGTCTCAAACGTCTTCTATAATTGGTTTTGGCTGGTTCTCAAAGAAGAAAAAAAAGACTTAATGTGCAAATGAAATACATACCTACTATCATTTGTTTTGAAGAAAAACAGATCTTAAATAATAGTTAAAAATAATAGTTCTTAAGAAACAATATCGATGTATATACATGTAGTAAGTATTAAACGTATCCACTGTTTTGCTCATGCACACTTGAGTCATATTAAACCAATAGGAAAGACAAAGATAAGAAAACCATTTTTTAGAGGAATTGAGTTTATATTAATATTTTTGTCTCAAAGATATGATTTAAGTTATTGAACACAAATGGTATCTGACTCCTTGACCGTCTTAGGGCGACACATGTTTTTCGGCGAAACATTTCAACCTTCTCATGAAAGTTTAACTAATCGGGATAGTTCAGTATGGGGATAAACAAAAAAAAAATTAAAAGTAAAAATTTATAGCAGTTTCGCTGATTTAGTGTTACTTATCTATTTACGTCATAGAATTTGTAAATGTGTTAAAAACAATTTCTTAAGATATAAGAACGTTCTTTTTTTATTTCCGTTGAAACTATCACACCTATTTAATGGGAAATTCCAAAAAAAAAGGTTCGAAGATTTACTCGTGGCGTTTGACGCAAAATTATGAATAGTGACCCGCCTTTCATTATTCTAAGATAGATGTACTGTTTCAGAAGTATATACAAGTAGATTTAGAGCTGTGGTCCCAATAGCGTAATAGTAAGCGCTTTGGATTTCCATGCTGGCGACCCGGGTTCAATCTCCTTTAATTGTTTCCATAAAAAGTTTTATCACTTCTCGATTCTGAGGTTGTTTTTTTTTCAGAATCGGACGGAAGACCTCTCGTTGCTCGCAACGAGTTTCTTTTCTAGTTATTATTATTTTTCTTATTTTTTTGACTTTCTAATTTTGTGCACGCGATTTCTCAAAGACTACTGGATGGAATTACATGAAATTTTCAGGACAGATGTGTTGTAACATGAATTTATTATATCCGAGAGAAAATTTGGAAACTCACTTCCGGTGCCAAGTTACGGACAATTTCCTGAAATTAAAATGACATTTTGTCCGCGATTAAACTCAAAAACGGTAAAAGATATCAACATGAAACTTTCAGGGATAATAGATCGTGATATCTATCATCCAGGACGCGACATTTCGTTCGTCGTCTATACTTCCTGTCGTCAGGAGAAGCAAATTGAAAAAATCGTATTTTTCAACTTTTTTGTTTTTCAACATTTTTTATTCATTTTTGGAATGATAATAGAGACCCTTTGATCAATGCTTACTATATAATTTGTTTGAATATTGGTTAATCAGAACTCTAGATATTTATATTTGAAAATCTGAAGCGGACCCAAGATGGCGGCTGTCTCTGTCAACTCCGCCATTTCGCGAGTAGGGGTTTATGGAGGCAGCTGAGCGTTTGACTAAATGATACATGACAAGTAAAAAAACTACATGGACTTTCACCCTTCAGTACGCTGCAATTCACTGACAATCTTAAAACTTAATTTCCGTTTTACTGCTTTAGTGTAATTGTGGTAGATAAGTGTGTGTAATGTATTAAATTTACTTTCTTAGCGTCGAAACAAATAAAGGCGATAAGAAGTTGTTTAATTAAATATTTAATTTCATTGAAGCTATCACACCTGTTCGATAGATCAGTCTATCATATAGATCTTTTTGAGAGGTTTCCAACGGTATATTTCTTGTGATTTTTAATGCACTAATTCAGAAACTATTAGCTCATATCTATAAGCATTCTGTTTTGACAGAACATGTCCTCGCGTTTAAGAAGTAAACAACTTATATTTAGTTACAATGGTGGACATTTAACGATGGCTGTGATTGGTCAACCAATGATATGACAGCTTATATATTGATATCCTCCATTTTGAATATTTGAACCGTACGCGCATCCTAATTGCGCATGTGACGTCATTATTCTAGAACATTCCTATTTGTCGGTATATAAGTCGATCAGATTAACCGGAAATCTATTTTACGCTGTATTAGTCATTCCGATAATACGATAATCGGATATTACGATAAATTCCTGCTTTTGATGAATTTCATTGAAAATTATAATTTTCAGATATTGCTCGTTTAATTATATCTCTACAACTCGGACGGAAGACCTTCTCGTTGCTCGCAACGAGATCGCATCTAGTTATTATTATTTTTCTTATTTTTTTGACTTTCTAATTTTGTGCACGCGATTTCTCGAATACTACTGGATGGAATTACGTGAAATTTTCAGGACAGATGTGTTGTAACATGAATTTATTATATCCGAGAGAAAATTTGGAAACTCACTTCCGGTGCCAAGTTAC